GTTCAGTTCATAGTGGCGTTTGTAGTATGAAATAATTCGTTTGCCTTCGATATTTTGGTGAATTGATAAAAATAAATAGTGAGCTGAGTGAAGGTTTATGCCAATTACTGTTTACTGCTGTTAGAATCGTTGGTAAAGTTGGAGACCGCTAGCACCAGAAATAATTTACGGAATTGAACCAAAATTTCCTGAGATCCTATTTACATTATACTGACGAAGAAATGGAAGTGAGAATTCACAGGGCGGTAATGTTGATATTGTTCCAATCTTAATCATTAGAAGTCTTCTTGGTAATGTACTGGTAGTCCAAACAGTTTATATTTTAAGTTCTCAAACGCACTGGCTTCAAGATGCAAGCTAAATATTTGGTCATTTTCACATTTTATATTCTTTCCTCTTCCACAAGTGAATCCATCTTCTTCACAGTTGCTTATCCTTCGTAGAGCGATGGAAAGTTATATCACCCCTGCTTTTAATTTGTGATAAACATATAAAAACTTAGCAAATGCTCTGCATGCGTGTTGATTGATTGATACGTTTATTGAGATACAAAAAAACATTAATACATCTCAAAGGGATGAAGTGACATAAGTCATCCTCACCCCAGTCCAGGAATGTCCTTCTCAGGACTCACATAAATCCCTAATATTTCATATAATTAGTTATAATACATAGTTATACTCTAGATGCAAAATTTCTATATTTCTTTAACATTTCATCTATTTTCCCATTTCCAAACATCCATTCTATTTGCATGGGGACATTATTTATATGGGCATTTCTATATACATTAAGCAATGGGCATTCCAGTATATAATGTGGCAGGGTATGGGATCTGGGTGTTCTACAAACTCTACATTCTTTATCCTGTTCACTTCTCTCAGCTCCAAGTTCCCAATAATATTTATATCCTAATCTTAATCTCATATACACTGAATCTTTCCACCTACTCCTATCTTTCCCATATGTAAATTTTGTGTTCATGAGAACATGATGGTAATGTTTCATTGTTTCACTTTTCTCGTATATTTCATTCCTTTTGAAATTATCTTCTATTGATTGTATTTTCCGTAATTTGCTCCTTAATTGCTTCAAGGTTTTAGTACATATTATGTCGATCTCGGCCTTTTCCGTGGCTCTTTTTGCTATTATATCTACTGCTTCATTAAGACCAATCCCCACATGTGAAGGGACCCATACAAATTGAACATTATGGCCATTTTTCCTTATTGTATTTACTAATTTTCTACATGAACCAATAATGTGTCCAAAGACTGGACTCCCACTGTTCAAAGAATCCAAAGCTGCCCTACTATTGCATGCGTGTTTTTCTTTCTTAGTGGCGTCACGAGAGGTTTCGTTTTCTTTGATGCGAGAGAGAGCGAGCAGACCTTGACGCCAATGGATACACTTTCATCTTATTCTTGGGTTATATTAGTTTTTGCCTCTATATGCTTTCACTTGCGACTGTATATTTCAGTGTATATTTTCACTGTATTTTGAATAGCTGTAATCCGAGGAGAATGGGTCTTCAAAGCTTAATTACGATCTCGCTTCTAACACCCACGAGTAGTCGTAACTTTGTGCAGCCAATTTTGTTTTGAGTATTGAGCCACAGCGAAAAAGACGTCGTAATGCAAGTCATGACCATTTATGGGAGATGGGACTCCTTAATTTTTTTTTCAGAATCCAGCCCCAGGTCAAGCCGTGGCATCACAGACAGTACTAAGCTTCAGAAAAGCCCTTGACAAAATTATTATGAGTAAATACTGTCATAACTAAGTTAATTTTTTTCTTTTGATATTCAGTCTTTCGTGATAAAAAAATATGCTAAATGTCATAAACTCAAATTATTCAACTTTCTGGATAATCAAGATGTAATAGTAATTGTCGTAATTTTCCGGTATTGGAATTTCCGCGAAAATAAAGAACACGCAGCTACATAATGTTTGGTTATTATTCATTTGCAATACTGTATAACACTGTTTTCACTTTGTTTAGCTTACCTGGTAGTCAAATAACCGAAAAATTAGGTCACAATCACGTAAAATAAAGATAATGATTAAGATGTTTAATGGTCAAAAGGTGTTACGTCCAACCAAAAGGTCGAGTAAGAAAATTATATTGCTACCGAATTAACCAATATAAACTCGAGGAGCGAGGAAAGTTGGTTTTGATTGGGTGATGGGAATCGTTTAATTTCCGAATACCTGAAACAATTATCGTATTTGAGAGGTGTCAACCGTGTCAACACTTAACAGTCGCCATCTAAGTTACGCAAAGTGCTGATGCAGATTTGGGTGCTATTGTGTTATTTTGGAAGGTATGAGGTAGACACGAGCACGTCCTCCATAATCTGCAGCATTTAAAGTTAGTGTATGTGTTAAAAAGAAAGGTTATTGGAGTGTAATATGGTATTTTGTGACGGCTTTTGATACCATGATAAGAGTATAAGGCGTCATACTCTACTTGCATTTTTTTTATTGTTATTGTTTAAATTGTGTATTTTTCTGAGTAAGTTTAATTTTTATAATGTTATAGACCGTCTCTATGTTTATAAGTTTATAATTGGTATACCAGTGTGTGAGAAATCAGACGGCGAAAACGGGTGGTCATGTTGGTGGCCGTGGTTACGGATAGCTGAATGTGGTGGTTGTGGTGGTTTTCGCCGTCTGATTTCCCAGTTCTTGGCAGGATCAACTGTGAGACCGACCTCCTCATTATGGAAGCCTTGCATCAGTATAAAGTAAATCCATCCATTTGTGATATAGTTTCCTGTGAATTGTTGTGTTTTTCGCACTAAGGCTCGTCTAAATTATGATAATAATCCCCTGTATAGGTTTATTTCACATTTTTTCCTGATTTTAGCTTTGTACGTAGGTCTCTCGTCATTTTTGTCGGTTTTAAATTGGAGTGCTCTTTCTTTAAATTTTGTGAAAGGTAAATTTTGGTATAATGTTACGTTTTTATTGTATATCACCTGTATTTTTAAAACTTTTTGTTTTCTAGGCTTTGATGATGGAAAATGATTTTTTCCGAAACGTTCGTGATTAAAGAAACCCAACTTAGTCCTCTTCGTTATATATATATATATATATATATATATATATATATATATATATATATATATATATATATATATATATATATATATATATATATATATATATATATATATATATATATATATATATATATATATATATATATATATATATATATATATATATATATGTGTGTATGTGTGTGTGTGTGTGTGTGTGTGTGTGTTAGTTTGGATTGGTTTAGGTAAGGGTTTGGATTGGGTTAGGTTCAGTTGAGTTAGTTTGGATTGGGTTAGGTAAGGGTAAAATCCAAACGCAAAATTTCACTTTAGTTTTTAAAAACAACCACAACGCGTTGTGGTCGCCTTTCGCTTTCTTAGCTCAACATATGCACAGAAATAGGAAGACCTTGTACTGTGCGTGTGTACTGTTCACACATACAAGTCATGATTTAGTGTGTTCGTCCTGCGCGGTTGTTTATAGGCGTATTTCTTAATGTTAAGACAATCTTTTTTTTATATATAATTTATTTTCATTTTCCTCAGTGCTGGGTATAAATCTAGTCGGAATCTTCTGATTAGATTTCACTCACGCATAGCCTAGTCATTCTCTGACAATTCTGTGCAATCTTGCTGATCCGATCTGGTTATTTTTCTGAAATACCGATCCCAAACCCCGTTTAATCTGATTAGCGCTTTTGATATACGTCTGCATCTCTACTTCATTAATACAGTATTATGTGGACTACTCTGTTATATTATGGAGATACTCGCTTGAAAATAATAGTTTTTTAAACTTCGACATTTGCCTTAGGATTGTGTTAAGTGATGTACAAATGTCATCTTACGTCCAGTTATTAGTGACACAAAAAGCATGTTGCGTGCTATGAGGTAGTTAATGCAGTTTTAGAATCTAGAGGGATATTGTGAAGTTAATCGAAAAACACAGCTTGGACGGCGATAATACTACAGTATTTTAGCAAACAAAAACAAGTTAACGAGATTTCGAGTAACCCCAAGTTACCAAACCTCGTGTACTGTCCTACTTACAAAGGTACTGTATGCCTATACCCTCTTTGAACAGGTGAAATTGGACACTTTTCGATTGGATTATAAACTAAGAAGTCTACAGTATATTGACCACCTAATTTTTTTAAAGAAATACATAAATAATATATATTTTTACGTTGTCTTACGACTGCAAACATGTTGGAGGTTCATTCATTGAGCAATGTGTTATTCCGGATCCAACGTACGATAAATACCTGTGAAGGCTATATGACTTCATATTCTGACTGCTGGAAAAATTACTGTAATGAGTCGTCATATAGAAAGGCAGTAATGAGCCCATTATATTTTTATTGTTGCATGCTATAGGTGCATCACAGGAGTAATTGGGTGAATAGGATTTGAGGTGTTTATCCCTGGGTCACACATTAGTTACGTTCGGTGTTGAGTGAGCAGATCTAGTATAGTCTTGCTGTTTTGAGCTTCGAAGGGAAATCTGCATTGAACATGAGTTTGAGTTTAGAATGTGGTAGTCGTATGTTTTCAGTGAGGTGTGAGCTTTGATAGGCGTGCCATTTGAATTCTAGAGGAATTATGAACGTGAGTTTGAATGTGATACTGTATTATTTTACTGGCTAGAAGATTGAGCACCTACAACACACACTACAGGTTTTGGATATGTGGTGTTATAGAAAATTGTTATAGACAAGTTATCGTATAGGAACACAAATAATAAATAAAATTAGTTGAGAGGAACAGAACGAGAAAAGTGCTGATAATTTATAGCATAAGGGAAATGAGATGAGGGGAGAGTGGTAGATATATAGTTAATGGGTTTGAAACTAAAGAATAGAAGGGCCAGGAGGCAGAGACTGGGATGGGTGATAGATATTCAAAGGTGATCCCCCAAGTTAGACACAATATACGTAAGGTTATTGAAGGCGAATAATATTGTAAAACATTTATTTTCATAAAGGCTCAAGTTTTGAGCTTTTGTCTTTTAAAAACAAATTACACAGAAAGGTTACCGGTAACCTTAAAATGCTAAACAACGCCACCATTAAGGCACTAGTACTAGTCAACGTAATTGACCACTTACACGAAGCTATCACTACAATTTTGTTCAAACTTACAACTGTAGAAAATGTGGAGGGGCGACTAATATTTAGATAACAAATATAACGAAGTAGGAATCAGTATCACCAACTTGTTAGTTCAAAGTGAGTGCAATTACTTAAAACTCCAGGTTAAAATTGGTACATACGAGTTTGAAGAAATAATGTAGAACTATGTTATTAATCACAGAATTAATTAAATATTTCATACATTTCCCTTCATCTAGGAGATTTTAATTTATTTTTGTCCGTGCCGGTCGACCCATTCTTTTTGGTGTGTTTATTTTGTGCTGACTTGTATCTAGGGTTTTGGGCCCCAGATTTACCTGCGACTTTTATCATAGGTTTTCCTTCCCCTCTAGGCCCAGCGGGTTTCTTGGAGTTCCCTAATTTGCCTCCCCCTTGGGGCCCCCCAGTCCTCCCTTCTCCCTCCCCGTGTGGTCCATGTTTCTGTTGTTTATTCTTCTTGTTCTGCGCCTTCTTCTTCTTGTTCTTCTTGCCCTTCCTTACATAGGGGGCTTTCCTCTTGGTGAAGGATTTGCGAATGTTTGGAACAAAGGGTGCGGCTACCAACGCGTCCTCAGGCGCGACCGCTTCACCATCCTGTCCAAGACCTGAAGGAGAAGAGGGAATTTAGATAAGGGGGTTGGGATGAGTGGCTCCTCTTCTGTATGATTTTAAAGGACTACATCAAATTTGTGATTAAAGAGACTACTTCCTGGTTTAAGTTTGGAATAAAATTAAGATGGTGGAAGTGAAGGGCGCTGAACAGGTAATGTGAAGCACGGGTAATAGTGAAGGGCGCTGAACAGGTAATGTGAAGCACGGGTAATAGTGAAGGGCGCTGAACAGGTAATGTGAAGCACGGGTAATAGTGAAGGGCATTGGACAGGTAGTATTAGCTGTGTAAATAAGGGAGAACGCCTTGGTATACAGGGTGATCTTGACAACACACCCTGTAACACATCATTGTCCACTTATTAAAAAAAATCACTGTCGCAAGTTACGAGTGGCATGTTACACTCACCAGGGCCAGCTTGGAGCATGTCGACCGAGTCTTGGAGAGGCAAGGCGATGGGACCAACTAAGCCTATTCCCTTATTCCTCTTGTTCACATGTAGCTGCTGCTGGGCACGCTGCGGGGAGGTAATACAAGATGTGAGTTGTGAATTGAAGAATTTAAGTGAATGACGTAAAAACAAACAAAACACAAAAAAGACACTAAAATGTGGATCAATGATGGTGTACGTGCATCTGAAATATTGGAACGAATATAAACATTAAGAAAACTGTCTCAGAAAATTGCGAAATAATGCTGAGAAACTGACCAAGTTTTGAATACACAGTGGATAGCAATTTTAAACCATTTATGTATCAAATTTAGGTAATGTAGCTGTCCACTACTGATATGCTTATACCCACCCCTTCCCACGCTCAAGATGTACTGTATATTGCTATGTACCGCCTGGGGGAACATTTACAGACAAGAGGAACTAATACCACGGTGCGTTTTCCGCTAATGAACTTTTTAGTTTCAATGTTCATACACCGTTTTCTCAGGTTTCATTCAAATCAATCTCCCATCTTTTATAATTTAAGTTTGGGTACCGTTTTTTCACCCAAATTGCAGCCAAAGCCGCGTTATTAAAAATCACTTCTACGGTTGGTTTGATTTACCAAAAAACGATAAGAGGAAGGCTCGTCTTATAGCCGCCATTGAGTTTATCTTGTGATTCAACATTCGTACTGTACGAGCGGGCCCCACATAGTCAAAGTTCAGCGTTGTGCCATAGAAAAATAAGTAAAACATCAGATTTGTCCCCTGGCAAGCATGAAGATTGTTTGGGCACTGCTGTACGACAAGTGCAAGGCGTCAGTGGGTTAGTAGTGACTCGTCCGCTTCTCAGGTTACTGCCCGGGCATGCAGCGGCTGCTCCTGTGCTGTGTTCGTCTTAGTTAAGGGGAAGGCTCTTTACAGTCTCCCCTTCCTTTTGTATTCATAAGTGAAAGACAGTAATAAACACTGGTATTGTAGTAACTGAACGATAGCCTATCTATATAGGGGAGTTTATAAACATTGGTATATATAGAAGAGAAAGGTAACCGTAATAATAGTTATATGCAACCATAATGTTAGCTAAATCATATTTACTGTACAATTGTGACTAAGGATGAGCTATTAAATAGAGGGGGGTTGGCTGTGATGCTTGGTAGAAGTACGAAAGTCGTCCTCAGTCAAGGACTTGACGTAGGACACAGTTATAACTACTGTGTATGACTTAAATTATGTAAATTTGTTATTGTATTCAGTTAAAGTGGGTACCATAGGACACTGGATAGAGCACTCTTTTTACTAAGCCTTCGGTACACAAGGAGGCAGCATTGCCGCCTTCACTCCCCCAAGTGTAAACTCAGGTACCCATTTATAGCTGGGTAAACTGGGAGCGCCCGGTAATCGAACTACCGACCCCTGGTACGGGAGGCGAATGCTGTATCCATTCAACCGCCGCGCTCCACTTTGTGTTTGATATTGCAATAAAATATTTATCCAGGAAATAATGGGTGTCCGCCAGTATAAGGAAATCATCACTAAATATTAATTTTGATGGTAGCGAACCATTTATATATACAGTATATTTTTCTAGTACTGTACGATACAGTGTATAGACCCAGATGATAAATTATGAGCGGATAATTAGGTAACATGAGGGAGAGAGGGGAGGAAATGTGGTGAAGGGTGGAGCGGAAATGGATAAGATATGAGTAAGAGGTGAGTTAGTTCAGGCTGAGTAAGAGGTGAGTTAGTTCAGGCTGAGTAAGAGGTGAGTTAGTTCAGGCTGAGTAAGAGGTGAGTTAGTTCAGGCTGAGTAAGAGGTGAGTTAGTTCAGGCTGAGTAAGAGGTGAATTAGTTCAGGCTGAGTAAGAGGTGAGTTAGTTCAGGCTGAGTAAGAGGTGAGTTAGTTCAGGCTGAGTAAGAGGTGAGTTAGTTCAGGCTGAGTAAGAGGTGAGTTAGTTCAGGCTGAGTAAGAGGTGAGTTAGTTCAGGCTGAGTAAGAGGTGAGTTAGTTCAGGCTGTGCAATGGAAGGGGTTGTAAGGGGGTGAAGCTGTATTAGGAAAGGAATGTGAAATTTTGTAAGTAAAGGAAAATTGTGTAAGGAAAGCTTTCAATTGTTTCAAAGAGAAATTAGCGAATGCGTACAGGACTGGACAAGACGTTGAAACCTGTGAGATTACGTGGGAATAAACACACATGCTGGCTAATATGTTTACCGTGTGTACCGAGCGTTATGTAGGTGCGCGTATAGTACTGGGATTTTATAAGTAATAGTTCAGTAGTTGAAAAAATTACCTAGAAGAGATTTCACTCGGCGGATTCCCCGGTAACTCGGGATGAAAGCACTCTACCGGCAGCCAGTGTTCCAGGTGTAAACATGGCCTAGCCCTGGCAGTATACTACACCAATAAATTGTCGACGCTCTCGTAAAAATTGTCCTGTTGTGTCGTTTTTCTGGTTCCCGAACGGAACGACGAAGAGAGATTTATGCAGGAGTAATTTGGAAGTATGTACAGGCATTACTATAAGTTTGGATATTTTGCAAGAAATGGAACATCTTCAGACCATTATTAGGTGCTAAGGAAATAATATTAATCACAGCATAGCTATCAATTTTAACTGTAGGGTTTTTGTCATATTTGGTAACAAGGTACAGTACAGTATATCCCTTATACCCTTAGGTGACCTGAATAGACTATCTTTTGAGCCATATAAAGCAGTGCATAGTGTATTTTTCTTTTAGTTTACTTTGTTATTGTCTACTCTTGAAGTTTATTGACTAGTTTATTGTAGACAAATTCGTGTTCTGAATTTATAAAGATAATAATGTACATATACAAAAAGAAAAGGTCAAGGGAAAAGGTTTGTACCCAGTTTCACATTTTTCCAGTCCCTGACTATGTGGAGAAGCAATATTGACATGTTTTTAATGTCACGTGGACCAGGTGCAGTACAGAACTGTTAGCACAATTGCAAGTCAGTAGTGATTGGACTGTACCAGTAACTAGTGATTGGACTGTACCAGTAACTGCAGATCGTGTGCAGTTGGATTGATTTTTTTAATACAAATTGTCTGCACCATAGGGCGTAATACGAAAGTAATGAAATGCATTATGACTGACTCCCAGTTACTGAATCAGCTAAAAATGTGGTGGTAATACTGTACACGGGGTTTACATTGTTATCTGATTGTTTATTTGGAAAAGTAAATTTCAAGTACAAAAATAGCAATAATTATGTGTAGTTTAAAGTTACTGAGTGTTTTCTAATAGGGATAAACTCAGCCTTGCCTTTCCCATTTTGACAATGTCTCTTATCATTTTAGAGTATTGGCAGTACTTAAGGGTTTTGGGAGGCGATGAATAATTAGGCAAAGAATACCTCATAACCGTTTCCAATAACCCTTGTTTTTGTAGGTATATTATATTTTTAACGTGCATTACAAACTCATCACTGGAATTATTCATGCAATTTATTACTTGATGTGTCGTAAACAAGATCAGTGTTTCAGAGTTCACATACGCTAAAACGGCATTACTGGGTGTGAAATTATTTTTCTTTCTTTATTTATACAACTTGGAGAGTATTACAAGCTGGTGATGGATTATGGTTAATAATTACTGGATTTAAACTCGTACATTCAAGCATGAACACTTTCATAAGCTGCCCAACTGGCTCCTGTTTGTGTCCCTCTGCTCTCCCTCACTCTTTCTACCATCTGCTTTATTGGCAGTGGTTGTGTATGTTGCAGAGGGGAGGTGCTGTTGGAGATGAAACCGCCATGACGCAATATTGTTACCTCCTGGTTCTTGTGGCTGATTAACAACACTTTCTGTATGATGGGTTGCACTAAGCACTCGACCCCCATTCATTTTACTTGTAATGACACAACAATAAGATAGATATACAGTGGCTAGGTGGTAACCTACACATCCATGTGCACAATTCCATCTCAAGACATGTTACGGACACTTGACAGTTGAGACACCTACCATCCCAGTTTACTCACGCCCAGGTCAACACCCTCGCATCACCACAATGGCTCCTCAGCGTCCATAGAGTGGTCCCTGAAGGCCCACAAAGTTCTCCCCAGACTACCTCGTTACCAAGTCAAATAATGCATTTATGTTTCAAGTTCCCCATATCTTTGTGAGCGTGTCGACGCTGATGGCACCCCAGGGTACATCATGTTGTGAACGATCATTGTCAGTGTCAGTCTACAGGGGATGGAGTCAGGCTATGGGCGCTCAGGTCACTGGGTACAGAGAGGGGCTGTTATCACTAAGGTTACTGGGTACGTAGTCAGGCTATTGATACTCGAGTCTTCGATTACGGAGCCTTTGGAGACAATGTCAGGTCATTCTAGACCCAATGTGGAATTTATGTAAGGTCGATAGATGACGTTAAGTGTTTGAATGTGATGCCAATAGAAATATTTTTAAAGAAAGAAATATAGAAAATTTCCTTTAAGCTTCTTTCTTCTCGTAACCTTTCATAAAAACAGAAAACGATTTCTACTGAGTGTGTTTATACCTAACATTAGTTAGCCTAGTTAAACCTATAAAAATGAGTGTCCGTAGAGCTGGCAGGGAGCTAGGTGAAATTACGTGTATGGCAGGTGATACACAGGGGATAATTTTTTGTAATAAATCTCGCAAAAAAACCCAAAATATTTTCTGTATTACAAGGTACGAGGAAAGTCGTCCGGTGTATAGATCCGTTGTTTTGTTTTCCTGGGTGAAAGCGTATTTTTTTTTTTTCGGGCATTAGCCCACCCGGGTACAGGTCACTGACCCACTCAGGGCCTGGGGGGCGAATATATTATAACAATAATGATAATTACTATAAAGTAATAATCAATAAAAAATGTAATTAATACTACCATTACTAATGAATACGCATGAAAAAAGAGATGAAATACAGTATGTATGTTGTGTTGTCAAAGTAAGAGAAACCATTGAGACCCTGCAATGATTACAGTCAAAGGCATTCACCCAGGATAAAGCTGATGATATAAATAGTGTCTTTGTTTCTCAAGAGAGTATATTGTTATCTATCCCCGCAACTCTGATCCTCCCCGAGCCTCCTCTCCCTCAGTCACAATACTGTACTGTCTAGTTTGAGGGGAAGAGTTCCTGCTGTTTAATCACGGGAACATTGAGCTTCTTGTTGTGATGTTTCATAAATATAATTATACAAAATGACAGAAGTGTCAGATAATGATTCACTCAGGGGCTGGGAGGAGGGGAGATGAACTAAGTGATGCTGGAGACGTAGTTAATGTCATGTGTTGAGGACGCCTTTTAATAATGCAGTACCGGTATAAAAATGTATTAAGGTTTGGTCCAGTATGTGGTGCACACTGCCAGCACAACCTACCCTTCTTCACTTAGGAGTTTGTGTGTGTTTCTGTGAGTGAGGGAGAGAGGAATAACACAGTCGTGGCTGGAGTCACTAACATTCTGCTCGTTGTGGTAGTTATTATCCTACACAGTATATTGGTGCTCGATCGACCGTATGTAGTAGAGTCTTATGCAGCTGTTGCTCCATTTTATGACACTTTGTGGGTCTGGCAGATGCGTTCTTATATCTCTTCCTTGGGACAGACGAAGCACGTGCCACGGAATCTAATCACGAAGTGTAGCCTAATTGTACGGTACTGTACTGTACTGTATATGAATAATCTACCTGTACAACTTAGCGTCAGCAATCAGTACACCAGTACTGTATGCCTGGCGCCCAGTGACTTTAGTTACCTTTATTCTAGGTATTAACAGCTTTTTTATATAACACATTGACAAAGTTTTTTTTTTTGTACTTCATATTTAGTATAGTTTCAAGCTTTTGGGAGATCTTTGAAATAAGCTTTTTTCGGTTTAACGCTAAAATTTAATTACAACCTTTTACATGATAGGTAAAAACTATTAATGGTCGCCTGGCTGATCAAAATAGTAAAATGGAAGCAGTAGTTAGATGGACGTTCATATAACCAACGGTGAAAAAAAAAAGGTTTCCGCTACTCCCGGGAATTCAGTACTCTGCAAACTAATTTAGTAGGTGGTAGACACGGTGATAAATTGGACTTAATATGTCAGTGGGTGATGGCCAGGGTGTAAGGGGCCGACCAGTTCATTTTCCGGTGTGGAATTTACTGCCCCTCGGCGGTGTATATGCGGGGGCCTGGACCACGCAGTGTACACCTTCCCCTGTTAAATCATGGGTATGGAGAGCTATTGTCTTCGTATAATAAACGTATAGCAACGCAACCTTTCCCTTCTATTGGGACTTGAATCCAGGACTGCGAGATGCTGCAAGTCCCAGATCTACTCCCCTCTGCTAATTAAGCAAAACACCTTCCAAGTATGGTCTCTAGAACCCTCCACATGCAAACCTTAAGAGTACAGATTGTTGGTTACCGCTGTACAATTAGAAGAGACCATCCAGGTACTAACGAGACAGTGTCTCATATCCACTGTGCTGGCGTATTAGTGGTGTTACTTTATCCATCATTCAACTGTTCCAAAATACTCAAGTAATTTATTTACTGTACAGATCTTTTGATTTTTGTTTAAGAACTAGACATAAAAAAATAATTTTAAAGTATATTTGAGGATTTCGTGTAAATGGAGAAGAGGCTTCCTCACTGACAAGTACATGGAGAGTTTGAGCTGAAGACATTGGGTAGAAAGTAATAATAGCTGGCATCTTTCACAGGAAGGATACAAATAACAATGTGTAAGAAAAATGCGGCTCTTAGCAGAAACAAGGGTTAATAAAATGAAAAAGCTGCATCTAGAAATACAGCCTTAACTAATAAAATCTATCAATACCGTAAAGTAGAAACGAAACTTGTGTTCATATTAACTACAAGAGAATCTGCTGTTAACTACCTGCGAGAGGCTGCTGCTGTTAACAATAAAAAAACAAAAACTTTGAACGACTACAAAAAAGATTCATAACAACTACCTGGAGGAACAGCTGCAGTGCCACTAACAGTGCCACCACCAGCAGGAAGAGGCAGTTCAGCTCAAGAACGCGTCCGGACAACTTCATGGCGGCATCGTTTTGGGACTTGTATATAGGCGAGGCTGCTGGGACACTCTCCTGGTACTCACGCCTCTTAGTTACTGTCTGTCCTTGAAGAACTTATGTCGTGTTTCTTGACATCTCAGAAATCACACTTGTCTACTGTGTTTTACTCTGCTGTAAAAGATGGGTGACAGAATTATATAATGTAGTTACAGTGGCCGCATACTGAATGAACACTTGGGATTTATATACATTGACCTACACACTTTGCATCTGAAAGTTTAAACGATTATATGAAGAGATAATACACTACGCAATGACCGCTTTACAAATCAATAGCCTGTCACGTGGCAGTGCCAGTTTTATTGTCAGCCTTCATATCACACTCTTCTTACACTGGAGTCTCGTTGTTGATGTCCGTGCTGCATCACCTCGTGTTGTAATAGCAGCCGTGGGTGGGTGGTCACGTATCGTGGAGCGTTCACAATGAGCTCCTTCCTGGCCACTTGTCCGCGCATCACTCTCGCGTATTATGATGCACAAGGGTGGTGCCGTGGCCCTCGGGCGGTGACGTCATGGCGTCCTCGTAGCTCTCGACTTGGCGCGCTCTTTAGAAACTAAACTATAGTTTATTTTAAGTCTTCAATACTGTTGGTGGGTTTGTGATTCCTTCCACAAAAGCATTGTGCATTGGTTTTCAAACTTTCTACGTGAAATTATTTAAAAAAAAATTTTGTTTGATAATTATCGGAGCTGTAAGCACACCTTGTAACGAGGCATTCATTCCCACTCTCTCTTGCTACAAGGCGTTTACTGTTGTCTAGAGCTGTACTTTAATATGTAATCTTTTATCGCGTTTCCCAACAAACACGCATTAATGTAACACGTAATTCATCAGTACAACACAGTCTCCTGTACAGCACTGCTGGTGGTGTGGAGCAGGTTGATTATATTCCTATTGTTCAGTGGTGTTTATAGATTTATGTATTCATATGTAGTCTAAGACACCTTTATGTGTCAGTGTGTTCTTTCACTTTGTTCCTGTATTTTGTACTGTATACAAATATGCTTCGCCCAGATTAACTTGTGAACATCGTGACAGTACCAAGTTCGAGTTGTATTAACTCCTTGGGGGGTTTTGTTCAGTGATATTCTTTTTCAGTTTGCTGATGTTCACGGAGATATCGACCAGCTTAACGTTTTTTTTAGGCAATTTCAGAATCGTATTTTTGTAGTTCCGACTCTGGATCCGTTAACTATTAGCGCATTGAAGCAACTAGTGTTCGATAAACAAAATCCCCCAAATTGTTTGGATAATTATGCTCCTGTTGTTAAGTTAAGTATTATCCTTTTGACTATCGAGTGTTCTGTGAAACCCTATTTTGGATTTACAGGACCTTATATAACTACTCAACTGTTACTATAACCTCCCCTCCCGAGTGCAGGAACTTTTTACTGCTTGGATACTGATACGGTACAGTACCATTAACAAACACATCCGGAATCTCGAAGTGTTCTTGAGAAGGTTGGATTGTCTGGTTGAGTTTGTGACATCCATATCAGTTTTAGGTCGCCAGATGACCTTTGTAACATCCGGTATAATGCATAGTCTATTATGATTTAGGGGTTTGTTGACAGGCAGTTTGAACGGTTAGGATCCTTGTAAGACTTGAACGCTAATGCGATGTTATTATTGTCTGCGCTTGAGTCAACAAAGATAAGCTAAACATTGCTTGTGTTCGTAATAAGATGATTTTGTTCTGTCGAAAATATTTATGAAGGTAAATGTATGTCGGTATGACAAGGTCGCCATGAATTGATAATATTTTGGTGACCGTGGAAAGTTATGTGATTCGGGCGTATTCTCGCGGCGGAGTGAGATAGCCAACAGCAGTTTATCTTGCTGGCACTGTGACGTACTCAACGACTAATATCACCGGGTTTTTCTCTGTATTATCGCTCGTGTTGTGTGAAAGCCAGAATACGTACAGTACTCACATTGCTATATATATTTAGTAACTGTTTTTGTGTAGCTATAAGACGTTTTTCTTGAGATAGGATGTTATATCACGAACAGACCTTGTGAAGCAGGTTTTTCCGTGTCTCATTCAACTAAAAGCAGAATGTAAAAAGGTTTGAAGGCTTAGTTGTCCTTGAAATTATATTCTTTATGTTGGATTTGGCTTTTGGACAAAATAGGACATTCACCTGTCTCGACTGGCTATACATCATGACAGGATGACCTCAAACCCCCGGAAGCGTGTCCACTACGACTACGCCCGTGACACTCATTCCTGAGAAGTCAAGCTTGTCATACTATTTAAGTTAAGAGACATTATAGTTTAACAATGTGCAAGGTATACTGTGAGCCACGTGTGTGCGTTCAGTGCTGTCAGAAGCGTAATGAAAAAAAATAAAAGGTGCGTTCATGTTGGCAGAATGGTGATTCAAGACGAAGTACAGTATATACGTCATGTTATTCGCTAACACAGTTTAGAGTGTTTGTCACAGCCTGTATAATACACAGTACCATGGGTCATTACTAGCCCCTCATGCTGGTTTAAAGAGGATGTCAGCATTGTTTTGTGTTTATTACCAAACGTGTTCAAAATGTGGAGTTGCTAAACTTTAATCGTTCGGATATGTATCACATTTTCACACATTCATAGCGCCGATTGGGATAGAGGTACACATTAATTTTGTACCTTCTTGGGTCTAGTGTACGGTGGACCACCTGTGTAGCGAAATACCCTTCGCCTTTAGTCTATTCTTTTGAAATTTACATTTATTGGATGTTATATTAGTCATTCATAAACAGGTATATTGCTAAAAGGCGGTAGCCATTAGTGTTCGTGCAGGTGTCTTGCATAGAAAATGTGGTAGATATGTTTTATCAGGATAAGGCTGTTTGAAAACTTCAAGGTTTGGCCTCCAAACTGATGTTGCTCTAGCGAGTCTTCTCAATGACTTCATTTCACACAAATTTAATGCATTGTTAGAATATTCCTTCAAAGGTGCTCCTTCATGCTGATTACATAACACACACGTCACTAATCCGGATGTTACTACCGAGTGGTTACTATCGTGAAAATGCTGAAGGTCAAGATAAAAAGAAAAAACTTTATCAGTCACTCACTTCCTGTAGTGTGTCGCCTTAACAACACGAGCATTGTGCCGACCACTGCAACAACACGCACGATCTTAGGTGCAGCAACGTGTTTTGAAGTGGTTGGTGATACACTGTTTTGTTCGGTGTTCTGGCGACCTGGGGAACAACTTGATCTCTACTCGCCTACCAGTCAGCTCATCTTCACTCATCGTCTCCCTCTGGACGATATGACTGCTTCATGTTTGCTGTTAACTCGTCAGTATTTACTTGATGACGTTACATGTATAATGTTCTTGTATACTTTATTCTTAACACTGTTTTTAACTCACACTGGTCATAGAACACAGAGAAGCCAGGTAACGTTATCATCCCCAACGAATGAGGACACCTGACTAGTGATGAGCCGTGTTGCCTATTGGGAGTTTTATATCTCACTCCGCCATGCGTGGAGCTAACGAGAGCTACTACCGCCAGATAGCATATAAAATGTAGCCAAGTGTATGACTACTCCAAGTGATGATGATGATATTAAATTATTAATTGTTTTAAATTTATATATATATATATATACTATATATTAAACGGCTGGTGGATTTTGGTGGCAACTCAAGCCGTTGAGGATGAAGAACAGTGGAATTTACTGTTACCATTCATGATTTTGTTCTCTTTTATATTCTGTACGTATTTCATAATTATATCCTTCTGTATATATTTTTGTAGGCAGAAATGGTTGTTTGTAGAAGTTTTTGCAAGTAAATACATGAAACTAAATGACACAAAAGCCACGTTTTACTAATTGCCAATATTAAGTGCAAATACTGTTAGGTGAAACGTGACGTCACACCCTTTAGGGATGCCAGTTAGCCTCATTATCTTGCACATAACATAGGCTTATTAACTCCTTAATTACTGAAGTAGCACAGGCAACCGTTGCTAGAAGTCGTCCATTTAGTTGTAAGACAGGTGTAATGTATATAGGTATGTTCGTTTGTCTGTTTAGCTTGTTGGTAAAAAAAAAGTGACCGGTCGTTGCACTCGGGAAGAACAAGAGAAGTCAGCAAAAACGTCTACACAGTTTAGCTGACACTGAATCGGTTTATTTATACAATATTTAATTACCCAATTTTGTACATAATATTGTTCCATAGGACCGATCTGTTAAATGCGTGTTTCATTCACAAGTTTGTCGTACTTGCTGATGAAATTAGTTGAGTAGAAAATAAGACAAATTATTTTACTACGGCACTACTACTGGCACTTGACACTATTAGGTCCCTGCCACACTTGCATTTATCCCTCCTTCACCACGTGTAACTCTCGCTAACAAAACAAGGCACTCACCGTCCCCCCACCCATCAACTACAGTAACTTAGCGATTCTAGAGAGTTTCACCGGCACACCCAGGGTTCCCAGAAGTGTGTAGGTTAAAACTCCTCAGTTATTTTATGATGTGAGAACATAATCTAACTGGCAAGCTGCTTTCTACAAAATGATAGGACCATAATTTCACCATGATTCTGCTGGTAGGAAATGCGCTGAATCACTCACAGTTACGAGCCATCACGGGGATTATCTTACATTCATACATTATTCACCGGAAGTTGTCAAAATGGTGGTGAAATAACAAACTTGACCGTAGTGTAGATGTATTAAACTACTCCTAAGTTACGGGGAAAAACTGTGGTGTAGGTTTGTTTGTGAACCTCGGGGCAGCAGCTGCAGGAGTGTGGTGGGGAAAGTCACAAAGGTGCACTGTTGTTGTGGTACACAGGTGGGAGTGATTAAGCGGTACACACACACACACACACACACACCATATTGATTTCTAACGCTAGACTACACTTAACTTACTTGGGTCAAGAAAGTTCTTATGACTCACGGGTACAGTGTTGTCATTGTGTGTGTGTGTTTGTTTGTGTCCTGCTGTTGTGAATGGTCACCAGGCCTTGGGGTATGCTAGCCAACTGGGCACTCAATACATATGGACGTAGGGAGAGGTCTCAGTGAGGACTAAATTCCCTTAACACTGTAGTCGTTTTGTTTTGTTTCTATGTCTTACTGGTTACAGGTGCCTGTATATTAAACGCACACACACACACACACACACACACACACACACACACACACTGTTTTACAAGCTAGCTTTATATAAGTAATCCCGTAGTTAAACAGTTTTGCTCACATAAGTCAACTACAGCTTGATTAATATACCGTGGTGTTAAGTGTTTAATTTACTCATGAAAATAATACGGTTGGCAGTTGGCAGATGATTGAGTTTAATGTAAAACAAATTGTAACGTGATGAATTACATCACTCAACGCTGAGGCAGCTGACCCTGACTAACAGCCTAGGCACAAGTGGATATACATATTCATTAGTGAGGCAGACCGACAGGTAAATAGACAGCGATAGATGCGAGAGGTAAATACATACAGGTGTTTTGACACAGCCAACCAAAAACAGAACCAGTCGAGTTTTTAAAGTACAAAACAGTCAGACACACACAGACAGACACAGTCGAATTTTCCCTCATCAGATGGGTATAAAACTGTCAAGTGCTTATGTGCCAACATTATATGCAAGAGCAACGTTTAAGTGTTATAAGAGAATACACGAATAACCATCGTGTTTAAAAAAGACCTAAAACCAGCCTTTAACTAATTTCAGTACACGTTAAGCAATGATAAAAACAAACACACATAGGAATGGAGGAAACTGCAGCGGACATTTGGGAACACTTTAAGTAAGCTCACGAAGTCTACCGTACCTAAATCAGCACCAGCAGTTATCACTTTAGTCCATACTGGGCAGTCCCGTTTACACCCAACCCCTATATGGTTATGATAGTGTTGATCTTTTATCTTATCTTTATTGAATCATGTTATCATCGATCTTATCTCAATCTATGAAAGGCGGATAAATGTCAAGATGATAAAATGTTATGTTTGTGGTTTTATTGATATGCGCAATACGAGTTGGCCTTGAATATTACTGTATATACACTGAATTGGTATCAGTCTTTGATGTGTGTACTAGTTAGTTTAGGTTGAATTGAAATAAAGCTTTACTAATCATTGTGGCGGCTGAGGATTCACTCTGTATACTGCTTGTAGGTTGACGCAAGATGAGGTTGTGACGAACGTAGAGTATATGACAATTTCTACATGTTGGCTCAACCCTAGACTGCCACTCTCTATACAATTTAGTACTTTCCTCTTAATTGTTCCCTCTTCCTTTATAGATAGATAGATACACAGACAAATATAGATAGATAAATACATTTTAAGGTAATGAATATGTAACTTATGCTTTAACGATTAGATCTGAGGTCAGTCGAGTAAAGTATGTGAGTCAGGTTTACAGCCGTTTACCTATAGAATGTGGCAGGGATGCTGTGAGAGATGACTGATCCTTCTTAGCTGGGTTGGGTTAGGCTGGGCTGGGGGCCCGATTAACTTGCAGCCTTTTGGGATGGGAAGGTAAGGAAGAAAGGTACCAAATTAAAAAGAAATAAATATAGGATTTTGGGAGGATGTTGGATAACGAGAGTAAATAAATTGAGCAAGGGAAAAGAGGGAGCAATGAGAGAGGAATGAAAGGAGTAAAATAAAAAATGAGGAAGAAAAATGAGGGGGAGTGAGAAAGGACACAAGTGACCACGGAGGGAGGAAGGGAGACGCGGTCATTGCCTCCTACTGTGCCATCACCACCGACTTGAGGCAGACAATCCTACCAGCAGCTGTGAGTCATCGACGTCTTCCCCGCACTGTGATGGTAATAAAGCTATCTGTGCTGTGGGGAGGAACACCAACTGGCAAATACCTCACTGCCACTATTATAAACATGAATTACATGTTTATATATAGATGTTTACCCGAATGTGTAATATATGTATTAAAAATATGATTTGCGGGATTTTATTTTTAAATGAGACGTTTCTAAATATGTAATATAATATATGAAAAGTGTTTGATGTTTGGAAATCGGAGTTTTTGAGGGAGATAGTACCGCGGGTGTGTGGAATATCAGTGAACGTCTATTTGTTATTTCGGGTTCGCTAATTTTCGGAAAGACTAAATTATTTAAAGGATTCGGTTATTGGGATTCAATATTTGCGAGCTAGTTATTTTCCCCGAATAGAACAAGAAAATGTGAAAAATGATTGTTTAGGGATGAAAGTTGTGAGTTGTAACAACTGGCTTTATGGTAGACTTATTGTGAGACTGGCCATTGTTGACATGGCCGGCACAGTTATCAGTCGCCTGGGTGATTTCTTTTACGGTTGCATTGGTACACGTGTTTGAGTACTTACAGCGTCTGCCTTCACTTATCTGCGCGCGCATGTGTGTGTGTGTGTGTGTGTGTGTGTGTAACGTTACGGTAAAAGTATTTTGAGTTGCGGCGGCTAAGTCTGAATTTTGTTCCGATTGTTACAGTTGTATAAGTGAAGACGGTCGAATGCAGTACCGTCCACACTTTCTCCCTGTGAAGTCTAGGCCTCATTCTCAGTGGACTGGCTGTTTCCTCGCTGTCCCAAACGTCAGGCTTGTGGGATCAATTCCCAAAAACTTGACAGCTGTTACAAAAAAAAATGTATTTATTGTGTTTTGTTGATTTATTGGTGAAAACGAACGATATTTACTTTTAATTACACGATATTTACGAGGTATCGGCTGCCATGTTGGGTTATTAAATCATAAAGTTGATCCCTGATTGTGTGTAGTCCTGTTGACAAACGCTGTCGTGGCTCCCGACAATACTGTACACCTAATTGACGCCAGCCCCTTTGTAGTGTGTGTGTGTGTGTGTGTGTGTGTGTGTGTGTGTGTGTGTGTGTGTTAAAAATCCTTCACAAAAGCAGGCTACACCGTGCTTCGTACTTCATCCAATACCGCCTACCACCGCCATCACTCTCCGTCGGTAAATTTCAATACCCAAAT